CAAAGACACAAGGAAAGTACTAGCCCAAGAGACAGAAAGGGCCACATAAACCAGAGACTTCATCAGCCTGAGACCAGAAGAACTAGACGGTGCCTGGCTACCACCAATGACCGCCCTGACAGGGAACACAACAGACAGTCCCTGATGGAGCAGGAGAAAGGTGGGGTGCAGAACTCAAATTCTAGTAAGACCAGACTTAATGGTCTGAGACTGGGGGAACCCCAGAAATCATGGCCCCTGGATTCTCCATCAGCCCAGAACTAAAATAATTTCCGAGGCCAACTCTTCAGACAAGGATTGGACTGGACTGTGGGCCATAAAGAAGTGATACTTGTGAGGAGTGTGCCTCTTAGCTCAGGTAGATACAAGAGACTAAATGGGCAGCTCCTGTCTGGAAGTGAGATGGGAAGGCAGAGTCGGTTAGGAGCTGGTTGAATGGACATGGGGAATCAGGGGTGGAAAGGAAGAGTATGCTATCACAGTATGGGGAGAATAATTAGGGTCACATAACAATGTATGTATAAACTTCTGTACAGGGAAAAAAAAAGTTACAACATGATTAAATAGCATTTATTCCAAAAATGCAAGAATGATTTAACATCAGAAAATCTTATCAGAGATGTATGCATATATATGCATCCATGTGACTATATGCACATATATTCATATATATAATAAACAACATAGGGGTACAGTTATAGATAATTCTTAGACATAACCAAATACCTCGTGGGATTGGTTTTTCGGGGTTTTTAAAAATATTTTATTGGGTTACATCTTTTACAGTGTGTCAACATTCTCTTTAATTGCGTTCTGGTTGTTCTGTTTCCAGTGCTCCAGATTCCCTGCTCCCTGATCTTCTCATCTTTGCTTTAACATAATTGTTGACCTTTGGGTGTCATATAGATGGTTTTTTAATGGAACACCATACTCACGGGCAATACCTTTTGTGTGCCAATCTGTTATGTCCCTAAAAGGTGACCTCAGGGGATAGCTGCGGTTCAGGGTTTAAAGAGTAGCTCAGGGCAATAGGGTCAGGGAGTTCTCTAGTCTCAACTGGTCCAGTAAGTATGGACATTTAAAAAATTTGAGTTCTGTTCCGTGTTTTTCTCCTGTTCTCTATTGTGGCCCTGATCAGAACGGTCAGTAGCGGTGGCCAGGCACCATCTAGTTCTTCTGATATCAGGGTAGATGAGGCTGTGGCTTGTGTAGGCTATTAGTCCTATAGACTAGTTTCTTTTCTGAGTCTTTGGTTTCCTTCTCTCTCTTTTGCTCCTGATGAGTACAGACCAGTAGCTGTATCTTTGATGGCTGTTCGCAACACAGATGCTACTCAACTCACTAGGATACAGAACATGAACTCTGTGAACTCTATTATGCCAAGTGACTGAGTTGTCCCATGAGACTAAGGTCCTAAGCCTTCAAACCCAGGAAACCAATCTCGCAAGTATTTGGTTACATCTGGGAATTAACTGTAACTTTGCCTCTATGAATATATATGCATGCACACACATATCTGTATGTACATATAGGTACTTCAACCCATGTATACGTATGTACACAGCTGTACCTACCCTGGAGCTCTGGCGGTGCAGTGGTAAGAGCTCAGGCTGCTAACCAAAAGGTCTGCAGTTCGAATCCACCAGCTGCTCCTGGAAACCCTATGGGGCAGTTCTACTCCATCTTGTAGGGTTGCTATGAGTCAGAAATGACTCAACCGCAACGGGATTGGTTTCTTTTGTGGGGGGAGGTATGTGACCATACACTCGTTTTTTGGTTATTGTTGGTGTCACCAAATTATATTTGGCATAATCTTTAGCACAAACATCCTTTTCTCTTGTGCATTTCTTAGTGTCATTCCTTACTTTGGTCAAGCTGTGCTCATTACACCCTCATTCTGTGCTACTTTTCCCATCACCAATGTGGCCAACGTGGAAGTCAAGAAAAAAACAGAAGAGAGTAAGAACTTGGAGGGAAAAGATAAAAACATCATTATTTGCAGATGATATGATCATATACATAGATAATCCAAGAAAATCAACAGAATTAATAAGAGAATTCAGTAAGATTGCTAAATAGAAGAATAAGCTACAGAAATCAATGGCATCCCTCTGCATTAGTAATAACCAAGCAGAAAATATCACTCACAGTAGCAAAAAACAAAAACTATAACCTATCTAGGAATTAATCTAACAAGGAATGTATAAGACCCTTTCAGAGAAAAGAATTTAATTCTATTAAGGAATATGAAAAGAGATCTGATTAACAGAGAGTTACATCACTGTATACAAATGGGACTACTTAGCACACGTCATTTCCCTCCAAATCAATCTATAAAGTTAATGCCATCAGAACTCTAGCTGGACTCCTTGTTTTTAGAAACCTGACAACCATTCTAAAATTTATATAGAAAAATAAAGATCCACCAATGGCTAAGTTACTTTGATAAGGAAGAGCCAAGAGGGAGCCTTGCCTTACTAATTTTCAGACTACAACAAAACCACAATAATAAAACACAACGGTACTGCATGAAGTACGGTAAGCCGACAGATAAAGGGAAAAGAAACAGAAAGTGCAGAAACAGAACCAGTGGGGCAAACACGGATGTTTAGTTGGTGGCATTGGAAGAAAAATGAGACTGGATCCATATCCTACAGAGGCGGACTCTTGGCAGATTAAAGACCTAATACTGACTAAGCTAACAGAAAATGCAGAAAACTATCCCTGTGGTCCTGGGCTTGGGGGAAAGAACTTCTTAAACAAAACACAAACCATACAGTGAAGAAATGGATGGATTTGGTAACACCAAAATCAAGGACTTCTGTCCAAGGAAGGATATCACAGACAGAATTAACACGAACACGAGATGACAGACGGTGAAAAGACATCTACGACACCCAAAACAGGCACAGAATTAAATACCTAGAGAGAAGTAAAGGAACTCCTACAATTCATCCCAAGCACACGTTTACACAATGGGCAAAAGACACGAATAGGAAACTCACAGAAAGCAAAACCAACAAGGATAACAAGTGTGGGAAGAGACGCTCACACTCACTAAAATCAAGAAAAGACAACCAAAACAAGGTGCCACTTCACACCCATCAAGTTGACAAAATTTAGAAAGCTAGATAAAAACAAGTGTTTTGCCAGCTCCAGGAAACAGGAATTCTCACACCCTCTGGGGTATACCCAGAACAGCCATCGGGAGAAAGCCTGGCAGGCCCTGTGGGATCCAGAGGGACAAGTGGCACCTGGGACCTAATCATCATACCGCCGGAAGCCTGCACAGGGCCACCGTCCCTGCACAGAGCACTTGTCTGAGGACACCTGTGGGGCCCTGCTGTGGGGGACTGCAGCCACCAGCTGTCTCCCACTAGGAGAACAGACAGGCAACACGTGCTGTGTGCAGCAGCTGGACATGGGGACGAGATGCACACAGCGACACAGACAAAGGATAAAGTGGGTTGAGGAATAAGAGGATGACAGTGAGGTCTACAGGACAACATAATTTTTGTAAATTAAAACATAAAACAACATGACGGATTTTATAAGGGGACAAAGATATTCAAAACGGTACAGTAAAACCTGCAAAAGCTGGAACCTGTGTAAGGCGGAAACCTGTCAGAGAAGGAAAACTCAAATATTTTCCACTAAAACGAGCGACAGAAAAGTGGTAACGCTGCACCCTGGAAAAGCAAGGCAGTCCCGCTGAGTTCCGGCTCTCACAGGTTTCACTGCATCAAACACCCCGAAGTGGGTGGTGATGTTGGGGGAGGGGGGTGAGTGCAGAGTCAGGAATGAGGGAGGAAAAAATACAACAAGGGCAGTCACTGAACAAACTGATGACGATGGTGCCCTAGGAAATAAAGAGTGTGACTAATTCAGCCCCCATACCTACTGAACCAACGAAAACCAACGATATTAACGACCTGCGGGATTTTCACAACTTCCCGGTTCATCCAGCCACACAACCAACCGCTACAACCTTACTAAGCACCATCTTCACACTGGGCTGGTCCTTAGGATATAATTACACTTCTGAGCTATTCAGTGGCTAGGGAAGGAAAAAGACACACAAAACAAGACTAAGTGCACAAAACCAATGTCACAAATGCAAGTCTAGATCTATCAGTGCTGCTGGGACAAGGCAGGCTCAGAAAGGCACACTATAGTAGAAAAGCGACCCCAAAGGAGGTGCCAGTGGAACTGGTCCCGGGCTTAATACTTCAGAGTTTGCAGTGGGGATGAGGAGGAATGAAGAGAGAAAGGGTGGGGGAGGTAGTTCAGGTGGAGCAAAGGGGAAAGAGACAACGTGTGTGAACAGTGGGCAGTCAAGTGTGGCTCCAGACTGAGGCTGTGCTGGGAAATGGCGAGAGACGACGCTGGAACGGGAGACAAGGGCTAGGTTGTGAAGCTAAGAAATCTGAACTCGATTCCATAGGCCACAGGAAGCCACTGGAAACCACGAGACTACAGTGCATACCTGAACTAATGCAATAACTAACTGGTCTCCCCAGACTCACTCATGTTCCCTTCAAACCCACTCACCTCATGCAGCTAAAGTGATCTTTAAAACACAAACAGGACTGTATGTCACCCTCCAGCAGACATGGCTTCCCATTGCTCTTGGGAGAACTGCTCTAAATCCTGAACAAGGTTCATACACTCTAGGTTTCTTAGCAGCACTACTGACATTTTTGGGCAGGAATTATAATTCTTTGTTGTAGGATGTTTAGCAGCATCCCTGGCCTCGACCCACTAGATGCAGTAGTACCCCTGCCCCAGTTGTGACAACGAAAAATGTCTCCAAACATTGCCAATATCCCCTGGGGGGCAAAATCGCCCCTGGTGGAGAGCCACAGCTACAGTCCTCCACAAGCTGGCCTCTGCCTGGCCCTGTGGCCTTAGCGCTACTGCCCACTCCCTTTCTCCGCGCAGCACACTGGACTTTTTTCACTTCCTGGAGTTCCTATCAGGGTGCTGTGATGAGGCGCTCAGCTGGAAACACTCACCACCACAGCCTTTCCTGCCCTCCACATTCACTTTAACTCTTCTCCCCTGGGGAGAATCTCCCTGAATCCAATTGTATTCTCAGCAGACCCCAGACTTTGAGTTTGTAACACTTACTCAGATCTCAGTATCTCTCTCCCCCACTAGACTACACCCTGACACAGGACAGAAATAAATACTTATTGGAAAAGTTATTTTCTGCTTTACATTTTTATTTTAGTAAACTGCTAAAATAATTAGTTTTGGATTATACACATAACAGTCACTAGAAATTTTGGAATACAGGAATGGAGGAAAACAAAGAATGGAAAGTCATTATTTCTATATTTGCTTGATTTAAAAATTCTGCATACTTTGCCATAACATACCTAGCTGAAGCTGTTTCTTATTTATGACAATTTTGATGTAATTTTCTTGAAATCCAAAGGTTTCAGCTATTCTGTAAAATAAAACCAGTGAAAACTGTTGGGAAACAAATTTGGTATTTATCACCCATTAAATAGATTTTAATCATGATAACTATTTTATGCATTTTATTCAGAAATGCCCAATGTTGCAACTTACAAACATCACTTCACGACAAAGCCAGCTTAGTGGATGATTACTCAAAACAGTGTAAGTGGGCAACCAATGTCATAAAACAGAATGTGTATTAATTGTTTAGTGGGAAACTAGTTTGCTCTGTAAACCTTCATCTAAAATTTAAAAAAAAAAGTGTAAGAGACCATGTCATTTTTAAACTATCTGCTTACTATGTGTTTCCTCATGAAGTGGAGACCACCTGAGCAGAAGGGCCCTGGCTGATTTAAGGAGAAAATCCATTCCCTGTATCTTCTGTAGGCTCCCTGGAACCTGTTCCGTCCTTGGAACCTGTTTTTCCAACCATCTATTTATTTGTGTTGAATGAGTGATGCTTCCTGAACGATCCCTAACAGCCCTGATGTAGACCAAAGAAGAAAATGGAAAAAGAAGCTAAAAATACCGACTGGTGAACCCTGGAGGTTCTCAAAACACTCACCATTTAAAAATAAACAAGTAAATGACCAGATTTCAAAGTTAGGATCTCTAGAGTGAGCTGTTACATTTTCTTTTTACAAATGAGCCAACCATCTGAAATTGGCTAGAACACTTTGCATTAAGAACTGCAATTCAATACAGGCCCGTCTCCTTTTTAAATCACTCACTCACTCATTTAAACATGATCAAGTGTCTGTTACGTGGTGGGCCGTGAGTTCTGACCTAATTTAAAGTTATGTCAGGAAATAAAGAAGAGCGCTGTGAGTCTTGAGTTCCCAGCCACTCTGCCACTTAACGAAGTCATTCAACCTCGAATGCTTGTTTTTCCTCTCAATAGATGGAAATAACAATACCTGCCCTACCTCTCTGATAGGACAGCCACGGAGGACCAGGTGAGTGAATATGAAAATGGTCAAGACCACCTGGGGCCCCAGAGCACACTGTACTTACTTGGACCTCAGTTCCCTGCCAGTGATGTGCAATCGGGTCTCCAACAAGTTTTTCCTGTCCTATTTAAAAAACAAAATAAAATACACCTGTTTCAGACTTTTTTTAGCTATCAGAGCCCTGTGTCTATGAAATCAGAAAGGTTAATACCAAAGGATGTTAAGTACTCAGGTAACTGGTCAAGGAATACAATGGTGCCTGCCCAGAGGAGGACATCTCCTGAATGTCACTCCTTTGCCATCCTGAACTGGAAACCAGACCATCCTCAGGGGAGCAGCAACATGGCAACGTCAAAAAAACCACACAATACCAGGTGGGCATTCAGTGTCTAGTGAGAAGTTAGATTCTTAGAGGGCAGGTTTGTCACATGGCCATCTTTATTCAAGCTCAACCAATGGAGCTGGCCTAAGCTATACAAGACTCAATCCCCCACCTCCAACAGTAGGGCCACATCAATGAGCAGAAGACTGTACAGTGAGACTATGACAGGAGGGAGCAGGGAGCCATGTTTTTGGAACCTCTTCATTCTCCGCTGTTCAGGCTTAAAATAATAACACAGAATCACTAGCAATACCTAGAGACCATCCAAATCTGCTCAGCTTTCTGACTGGTAGTTTGGCTTCCCAAATACTTGATACTAGCAAAGAAGAGTTCTGAGTTTATTGCCCTTCAAACTCATAAACTGACATACTGAGATACATATATTCTTTTCTTTTTCTTATTAAGTTCTTTATTTTCCCTAGAATTTTTTAACTGCTTATTGAGACATAATTTACATACCGTAAGTTCACCTGCTTAAAGTGTATGATCCAAGAGTTTCTAAACATTTACAGTTGTACAACTATCACCATAATCCAATTTCAGAATATTTTTATCATCCCTGAAAAAACCTGTACCCCATACTCTCCACCCTCAACCCCCCTTGGGCAACCACGAATCTCCTTTTGTCTCTATGCATTTGCCATTCTGGACATTTCATATAATGGAATCATGTACAATGTGGTCTTTTGGGTTTTTTCACTTAACATAAATGTTATAACATGAATCAGAGCTTCATTCCTTTTACTGTTTATCAGTAATCCACTGCATAGATACATAACATTTTATTTATCCACTGTCATGGACTGAACTATGTCTCCCAAAAAATGTGTGTATGAATTTGGTTAGACCATGATTCACAGTATTGTGTGGTTGTCCTCCATTTTGTGACTGTAATTTTATGTTAAAGAGGATTAGGGTGGCATTGTAACACCCTTACTAAGGTCACATCCCTGATCCAATGTAAACGGAGTTTCCCTGGGGTGTGGCCTGCACCACCTTTTATCTAACGAGATAAAAGGAAACGAAGTAAGCAGAGAGTTGGGGACCTCATATCATCAAGAAAGCAGCGCCTGGAGCAGAGGACGTCCTTTGGACCTGAGGTTCCTGCACTGAGACACTCCCAGACCAAGGGAAGACTGATGACAAGGACCTTCCCCCAGAGCCGACAGAGAAAGCCTTCCCCTGGGGCTGACGCCCTGAATTTGGACTTTTAGCCTACTTTACTTTGAAGAAATAAACTTCTCTTTGTTAAAGCCATCCACTTGTGGTATTTCTGTTAGAGCAGCACTAGATGACTAAGATAGTCAGTCATCAGTTGAAGGGACATTTAGGTTGTTTCCACTTTTTGGCTATTGTGACTAATGCTGGTATGAACATTTGCGTTCAAGGTTTTTGCATGGACAGTTTTCCTTTCTCTTGGAGTAGAACTGCTGGGTCACGTGGTTAACTCTGAGACATACAGACTTTTATTTCTTTGAAGAATAACTAGCATTGATTGGTCCTGAGATGCCAGCCATCTCTGGGTGCCCTGACTCAGTAACATCTCTAAACATGAACTATCAAGGACCTGGCCCTGCCGTAAGGTGGCCCCACACAGTACGGCCACCCTGCTTGAGCGCTATGCTTACACCCTCTGACCTCCACCTAAATAGAAAAAAGGATGAATGCCTTTGTGATGTGTTGTACTACACAAAAGTTCTAGAACACTGAAGTACTTTACTCCCTATTATTTCTAACCTTTTATTTGAATTATGGAAAAGATCAGAATGTGACACACAGCTTCATGAAATTTTGGAGGTCTCAAGAGGAAGAAATCTACCTTGTAAATGTGCTGGTTTAGGGGTCCTTAAAATTAACTTTTCAGTCAATAAATGTTCAACATGTAAAATAACTTAAAAGAATTATAAATTTGGATTGCAGATTTTTAAAAATGACAATTTATTTGATCACATCATTAAATGATGTACATACATAAATCTGGAGAAATTACTTACTTTTCTTAGCCTTGGAGGTAAAAATACCTCGATTGTAGCAATTCCTGTTGTTTTATAATTTTCATTTCCTGTTCCACGTTCAATTGCTTTGCACCGTATTTCTTCTATTATTTTTTCTACCTCATTTTCACAACATTCTAGTTTGTCAGAGTATTTCTTAGCAAGGTCCTATCAAAAAAATCAGAAAATGCAGATCAGTATAGTACCAGCTCAAAAAAAGAAAGGCAAAAATACAGAACAGCACATGCAGAACTCTAAGGCAATAAACTCTGCTGAGGGATGGTTGCCCCTGTTGTAGTGAAATCCAGTCTTCAGCTTGACCTCCTGCAAGGCGTAGAGAATTTAGAGAGGATCGAGGAAAAAATGAAAACAAATAAAAGCTAAAAAAAAAAAAAAAAAAGGCCCAAAAAGGAAAAGTGAAAGTAATTGGGATTATTCTAGGGGAAAAAAAGGGTAGGCTATGACTTACATGACTGCAATATATAAAAAAAAATTATTTTAAGAAATAGTGAACTCCAAACAGTCAACAATTACTTCAAACAAAGATGAGAATGTAAGGGAGCAGGGAAACTAGATTAATGAAAATGGAACCACCAGAAAGGAGATATTGAGAATGTTCATGCATTGTGAAGAATATAACCAACATTACTCAACAGTATGAATAGAAATTGTTGAATGAAAACTTAAACTGGTGTGTAAACCTTCACTGAAAACACAATAAAATATTAAAAAAAAAAAAGAAATAGTGAACTGTTCATCTCCACTGAAGGAAAATAAAAGAAAAAATGGAGAAAACACTTATCATAGTGAGAACAAGTCAGGTTAGATTTAAATACCATTCCTAACAGAAAATTCTGAATCACTGGTACTGGCTGTAAAATCATTTGCCAGAGACAGCTGTAGGTTTGGGAAAGAGAATTTAGAAGATTTAAGGGGCCTCACTTAAAGTGAAGGCATTACGTTCTCCCCCAAAGAATATTTGCACCTGGAGTTTAAAGTCTTGTTAAGAAATGAGAGGCGTCACTCCCCGTAAAACAGTAACAGTTGAAAATCCTGAAGTCCAAGGTTTCGTCAAATTTCTAATAATTATACTATGCAGCAGATACTTATGATAGGGAGAGATGTTCATGGTATCTATAAAACTATTAAACAAAAGGAGAGTATTTTATTTAAAAAATAATATAAACCTCTTTGTAATACATATATATTTTAATATTCACATAGGCAAAGAATGAAAGAATACACCACTATTGATATGTTTAATATATTTTTTAATTATATACATACGTTTTTAAACCTAAGAGTATATATTATTTTTATCACCAGAAAACATCTGAATTTTTTTTTTTAACTTTCTATAATTCTCTAAAAAATCTTATTTCTTAGTGTCTGAGCCAAGATTATAACCAGCAAATTCAGAAGCAAGGTCACAGGTGGGTTACAAAAATTAAAAGTGAGACCTATCAGGGACAGAAGAGACACAACTCTAAGTCATCTTCCAAATGCATCTTTGTGGCACAACACACATGACTCTGATGCCCTCGTGATAATCTCCACTCCTCAATAAATGCGACATCATATTCAGGACTCTCAGACTGAAAAAGCAGATAAGTGCATGATAGGATATTCTCATATTATAGGTTTCTATCAAAAATTATTACTGCATCCCTGCTTCAAAAAGCAGGCAAATTTCAGCTTCTAGAAATTTCACTCGTGTAAAATAAAACCATTTCTGATGATGCCATAAAGAAACTGATGCCTAACTTTTAGAAAAATATATTTAGGGAAAACGAACACTGACAGCCATAGTGTAAAAAACTGGGCGGGTCGGGGGGGATTGTTTTATAGACCAAGACAGCAAGGAGAATTGAGAAACAACCAAGATATTATCACCCTAAAAACATAATGCAATAACTTACTGTCTTGGTTATCTAGTGCTGCTATAACAGAAATACCACAAGTGGATGGCTTTAACAAAGAGAAATTCATTCTCTCATAGTCTAGTAGGTTCCAAGTCCAAATTCAGCTCCAGGAGAAGGCTTTCTCTGTTGGCTCTGGAGGAAGGTCCTTGTCATCAGTCTTCCCTTGGTCTGGGAGCACCTCAGCACAGGAACCTCAGGTCCAAAGGACACACTCTGCTCTCGGCACTGCTTTCTTAGTGGTTTGAGGTTCCTATGTGTCTCTGCTCACATCTCTCTTTTATAGCTCAAAAGAGATTGGCTTAAGACACTATTTAATGTTGTATACCTCCATCAGTATAACTGCCAATAATCCATCTTATTACATCATAGTGATAGAGTTTACAACACATAAGGAAATCGCATCAGATTACGAAATGGTATACAATTGTACAATACTGGGAACCACGACCCAGCCAAGTTGACAGATATTTTTTGGGGACACAGTTCAATCCATGACACTTAACTCCCACCGGAACTGCTGAGCTGTCCAGGCAAAATTAGTTTCCAGATTAATATACCTGAGAAATTAGATAACAATGTCATATAAATAAAATCTTATTAAACAAAAATAAGCTTGTAAACTCGTAGTCAAAGTGGATACCTGCTTATCTCTGATGCTTTTGGTTATGCCAAAAGTCTAAGTGGTTGTACCTGGCAATTTCAGGAGATTTCAGAATCTGATTTATCAAGGAGATTTATAACACTGCTAGTTATTTATGTCTTAAAAGAAAAATACCTTCAATGCCAAACCAACTTCTTTATTTTCATCTGTATATGGAGGTTTCCAAAGCTGAATTCGGTCTTCCCTTAAAAACTGGGTTAATTTTGCTTGAAGATATTTCTTTTGCGCCATCCTTGAAAGCAAAACAATACAACAATAAAATCCCACACCACATCTCAAAGTGCTCTCTAATTTACCTAATACACTGAGGTGTTTTGTGAAATAAGCAGGGCTCCCTCCCATCCATTCCTCTCCAGTTTAAACTCAATTACCCATTACCATCAAGTTGATTCCGACTCATAGCGACCCTGCAGGACAGAGAATTGTCCCATAGGGTTTCCAAGGCTATAATCTTTACAGAAGCAGAATGCCACATGTTCCTCCCTTGGAGCAGCTGGTGGGTTTGAAACTCCGACCTTTCAGTTAACAGCCATGCGCTTAACCACTGCACCACCAGGGTCTCCTTTAAATTACTAAGGTTTTAATCAGTTCCAAATTCTCTTTTAAAAAATACACAAACACACACACACAATTTCAAAATTACTAATATGTAGCAAGGTTTTATTACACTTTTCTATTTCTTAACCTATTGTTCTTTGATCTAAGAGACAGCTGAAACTTAAGTTTCAAGCATTACAATGTACAATAACTTGTGAGAGTGAACTTTTATAAGCAAATCAACATAGAGCTTATAAATTCTTTTGTAATTTAATATAAAACAATAGGCCAACCACTCTGGTAGTTAAAATAAAGAAAAGCTATCTTCAACTAGGAACTATCAACAACAAATATTCTCTATATCTGAATTTTTTTAATTAAAAAAGTTTTACAATACTAGGAAAGTTTTGCATGATATTTTTGTGGTGACAGCAGAATAATACACAAGCTACTGGGTCATCATTTTACAGCTGAGAAAACTGAGGTTCCAGGTTTGAAAAATGACTTGGCCAAGGTCACAAAATTAGGCAGTCATAACTGGCACTGGAACTTCTGCCTACAACACTGGACTCTGCATTTTGTAAGGCAGCTGCTTGCTACTTCTGTTCTCTGTTGATGAGGAAACCCTGGTGGTGTAGTGGTTAAGAGCTATGGGCGGCTGCTAACCAAAAGGTCAGCAGTTCGAATCCACCAGGTGCTCCTTGGAAACCCTATGGGGCAGCTCTACTCTGTCCTATAGTGACGCTATGAGTCGGAATTGACGCGACAGCAACAGGTTTTTTTTTTTTTTTTTTGGTTGATAATGACACTCTCCCGAAGAGCCACCAGCCTACAGTGGAAATGTCCATTCATCACTCACTACAACAGCAATTCAACGGTATGGGTGAGGCTGCTAATGAGGAGACAGCTGACAAGCACCCTGTAGTGCTTTATGGCCTGCCAAGATAGGACAGGCAGTAAGAAAAGTAAAAAGTTATTAGTTCCTGGCTGAGAGGAAGCAAGAATGGGGTTATTGCTTAAGGAGCACTGAGTTTCTCTTTGAGGTGATGAAAAACTTTCGGAGATACACAGTGGTGATGGTTGCACAACATGGTGCATGTAATTAATGTCACTCAATTGTACACTTAAAAATGGTTAAAACGGAAAATTTTTTGTTTTATATATTATTACCACAATAAAATGAAAAGTTTTTTTTAAAGTTATAAGTGATTTTCTTTTTTCCATCAAAGGTCACTACTTCATGCCCCCAAACCCCAATTTACCTGATTTTTAAATGCGGGTAGTAACTTAAATGTATTTAATAAACAATTTTTTTTTTAATTCAAACTTATTTTATGTCAGCTTGGGGGTGAGAAATGGGGTAACCAGGATAGGGAGGAAAAAAGGGAGGAAGGAATAAACACAAGTAAGGTATGGTGTGCATCCCATATGACCCATGAAAGAATCCCTACATTTTCAAGCACTAATACAGCTTCTCTCACAGAAAAGCCTATCAGCACTTAAGCATCTTACCTTTTCAAGGGCAAATCACTGGACCACTACACATTTATGCTCCTGAATCTCCAGATTTTGAATAAAGTATCACAGCAACCCCACTGAGGAAAATAGTATCATGGGCTACTCACTGGAGCCAAGCCATGTGGAAGGTGAACGCACAGCCCTCCCAGAACCCATCCAAGGCACCAGCTGACCACATGACAAAAGGGCTTCACAAACCGAGCTGGTCCACACACCCGGCGCAAAGCAACCGCTAAGAGTCTACGCCACACACGGTTTTTTTTAAAAAAAAAATTATACCACTCTCTGAAACTTACAAAACTTCAGTTAGAGATAACAGAAAAAGCCACGACACGAATTTTAAATAAACGAAAAAGGAATATAGTTTAATAGATCGGTTTTCGATGTTAACTGGATAACCCAGAAAGCCGGTTTCACGCCTGCGTACAATGCTCAACCAAAAAAGCTGACACATTAACTGCTCCAAATAGAAAGCGAAACGTTTAGACCACGCCTTTAAAAGTTTCTTCCACTTTTGTAATGAACTGATCGATGTTACCTTTACCCAAAGCTTTTCAACTGTATCCAAATGTTTTTTACGTTTTCTCTTAGGAGTCGTGAAAGATTTCTTGTATTGGAAAACAGGAGTAAAAAAAGAAGGAGAAATACAGAATCAGATGGTCAAGGTTCGAAAAAATCAACTGTATTTCCTCTTAAACCAGCCGAGAAAATCTGGCTTTGGTTGCAGATAAACCCCAAACGTCATATCTGGAATAACACTGCTATGATTCAAGGTTTCTACTTGTCTCATAACATTAGTTTATGTATGTATACAGCAACAACAACAACAAAAAAAATTGTCGTCGAGTCCATTCCGACTCATTGCGACCCTGCAGGACAGAGTCGAACCGCCCCATAGGGTTTCCAAGTCTGTAATCTTTACGAAGCAGACTGCCACATCTTTCTCCCGCAATACATATATAGGCACCCGTGCATATACACTTGTTTCTGTTTCTCCAAAAGCAACACAGTAGATCTTTTTGAAATGGCCCCCACTGCCGCCCGCCTTCACCCCCTATCCCGCCCCAAGCCCCCAGCCGGCCCGCTGACGCCCGCCAGGCCAGGCGAGGGTCGGGGATGCGGGGCCAGGACGCTGGCCAGCCACCCTCACCTGCGCCACCGCCGTGCCCGCTGCCCGCCGAGTGCCCGGATGCGGCGGGGCCGCCGTTTGTTTTCATTCCGGGTGAAACCGGCCCCGCTGCGCCACGGCCCGCGCGCCGCCCGGAAGGCCGCCTAGGTGGAGGGCGGGGCTTCGGCCGCGGCTCTGTCCTTCTGCCTGGGGCCGGCGTGCTGGTCGTCCGAGGAAGACGGGCCTGGGTTTGTTTCTCCAACAGCGTTGGAAGAGAAGGGCATGCTGTTCAAGTATACCCGTCTCCCCCGGAGGGCGAGTGGGGACCCCAAGGCCCGCGCGCCCTCAGCCTGGAATTAGGGGGCTTTCCCGAACTGGCCGCCCCAACGCTTGCCAGGCTAAACGTCCTACCCGTCACTAGGATTAGCGGCAATATATACTGAGATCTGCCTACTTCCAAAGCGCTCCGCCCCCACAGGTCCCCCGTTTCTCCCATAGGCTTAACCAGGTGCTGGGCAGCTGAAGTTCCCAGACAGCTCCTGTGAATAGCTGGCACCCCAAATGCAGACTGCCTGAAGCCAAGAAGCCCCTGAATTCCTCCACTGACGAGGCCGCTTATTCTCACCCTAAAAAGAGAGACCTACAGAGGGAAGGGGTTCTCCATGGAAGCACAAACCCACACTGCTTCCTAACCCCACCATCCCATTGTCCCCTCCATGAGAAAATACACGCCAAGTACTCACATTGTCCTTTGTACATACGTGGAATGTTATACATTATTTTCTGCCACCCTTTTTTTCCCATTTAATTATAGTCTTTCAGATCTTTGCATGTCACTACATATAGATAGAGCTTTCTGAGTCTAATAAATGAATAGTATAGCATGTATTTAGTTATGTCTATGTTGATTAACATTTAGTCTCTAATTATTAGCTATGACAAACAATGCTGCAAAGATAAACGTATATCACTGCAAGTACAGGTATTTCTACAGGATATATTCCCAGAAATGGAAAAACTGCTGCCAAATTGCTTCCCAAAAAGTTGTATGGATTTACAGACCCATCAACAGTGTACAAAGAGCCCATCACCCTACAACCTCATCACAATTGGACATCATCAAACTTTTCCCCAATCACAGAATTATCAAAAATTTTGCCAGTGTGATGGGCAAGAAAAATGACATACGTCCCATTAATTTGAATGCTGATCATCTCTCCATGTATTTTTTTGGCCATCTGCATTTCTTTTACTCACAGCTGCTCATTTTCTATCAGTTGTTTACCTTTGTTGATGTGTTTCACTGGGAGTTTTACATAGTGAAGACTACCAGTCTTCTCTGTTGTGGCTTCTGGTTTTTGTATTTTGATTAGAAAAACTTTTGCTACCCCAAGATTATTAAAATATTCTCCTATATTTCTATTAATTACATATTTTCTATTAATATTCTCCTATATTTTATGTTTCTATGAAATTATTTTATAGTTTGTTGTTTTATGTTTATAACTTTAATTTTGTCTGTGTACAATTTTTTTAATGTACAATAGGATTGTTTTATTCACATAAAGGACCATGTATAGCGTGGAATAATTTTTTGTAATTAAAAATAGATATTTTACAGTTAATTGGCCTAATAATGTATTTAGTGCTTCTGTTCTACCTCCTAGTTTTTTGCATAGTGCCTGGGGTCTTAAAAGCTTGCAAGCAGCCATCCAAGGCACAACAATTGGTCTCTATTCACCTGGAGCAACAGAGGAAGGAGAGTCAGGAATAGGAGGAGGACATGGAATGTGTGGCTAATTGCCTCCATGAACAACTGCCTCCTTTACCATGATACCAGAAGAACTAGATGGTGCCCAGCTATCATTACTGAACATTTTGATCAAGATTCTATAGACAAATTCTGATCAGAAGGGGGAAAATATGGAACAGAATTTAAAATTCTAATGGACTCTAGACTTTCTGGAGCCAAGGGGGCTGGATGAATCCCTGAAACTATCACCCTGAGACAATCTTTAAACCTTAACCAAAAATATTCCCTTAAGTCTTCTTAAAACCAAACAATAGTTTAACTAGTAAAAAATGTCTGCCTTGAGCATTATACTCTTTTAAGAACTATCTATATGGGATCAAAGTGACAACAGCAACTCGAAAGATGAGATAGGAACCTTAGGGGGCAGTGAGTTTATGTTAATGGGGGAGGAACAAATCAGAAAGAGAGTGAGAATTGTTGCACAACTCAAAGAATGTAATCAGTGTCACTGAATTGTACTATGTAGAAACAGTTGAATTGGTATATGTTTTGCTATGTATATTAACAACAACAAAATAAAATTTTTAAAAATTAGATATTTCAAGAGACTTCTCTTATCCACAAACATAAAAATTCCCGACTCAAAACTGATTTTGTCTGTGGCTTCACTGGCCTATTGTTTTGTTTTGTTTTTCACCCTAAGTTGTTAATTGACTTTGCCGCATGGCTAAACTTGTTTCTTTCCTGCTTGAAGAGAGCCCTCAATAATAAAACCATTACCTTGTGATTCAATGAAAAAGACTCTGGGCTTCTTTAATTTAAATTTCAAAAGGTCTAATGGCTACAAGTGGATGGAGGGCCAAATCTTCAGGAGTTACCTTTTTAGTGCTACCTCGGCAACCATTAAGTACTTCATCACCATGGAAACTTGTATTCATTAAGCAAAAATTGTTTAAGCCTCTGTGAATTCTCCATTCTCTGGAAGTGGTTTTCCTCTTGTACAAGATAAACATTGCCCCAATTTGCAAATTGTTTATTAAATCATAGAGCAATCAAATATTGTGTTATTATTTTGAATTAATACAAGATTTTATTTTTTAACAATAGTTTTTTTTTATTTTTTATAGAATATCTATTTTTTTTTATCTGAATGGAGAATAAGTAAGTATATAAGATTGCTAAAGAGAAGCAGTAGAAATTGAATGTTTTGTATTATAGAATCAGTACGTCAAGTTTGACTTTGGCAGCCAGAGGTTCTTACAGTTAATTCATGCAGGCCGAGGGCGCGTCACTGCTGTGAAGCAGCAGGGCAGCACAGCCCCCACCAGCAAGGAGTTAGTTTCACACCATCAGGTACTTGTTAAAGGCCACCGTGGCATCACCTGTGCAAGCAAACAGGGAAGGGGACATGGCAGCGGCTACCTTAGTGGAGGAAGCACGGGGAGACTCTACAGTTACTTAAGTTTAAACTAATATTCAATTTATCATAGTTGAAATCTTTTTAATATAGATTTTCTTAAGCCTGTAAGTTCAATGTACAAATTTGACATTCTACTTATAAATCTAGACATTTTTGTATAAAACTAAAACTAATTTCTTGTAACCATTCCTCGATTAAAGTTTAATTAACCCAAGTTGAACAAATTAAACTCCCTTAAGTTATATGTGCTAGTTACAAACTTAGTTCATTACATTCCCTTAACATTTTAAACTAAAAAACGTTTTACGGGCTCATGAATAAATAGACCAATGGAGCAAAACAAAGTCCAGAAAGGTGTTCTAACATATGCAGGGTGTTCAGTATGTGATAAGAATGGCATCTCAAATCAACAGAGAAGATAGTCTATTCAATAAATTACATTGGGACAACTGGATTACTACCTGGAAATAAAAGTTATGTTTGATCCATACCTCACACAGTATACCCGGATGAATTCTAAATGGATCAAAGACTGTGATATAAAAAATAAACCATAAAAGTTCCAGAAGAAAACGTGGGAGAGAAGGAAGCCTTTCTTAACTAAGACAATATTCAGAAGCCATAAAACAAGCACACTAAAAATAGATAAATTGTACTACATTTTTTAAGATCTGCATTTAAAAATCATAAGCAAAAAAATTTTGTAAATCATAAGCAAAGGCAAAAAGCAAATAACAAAATGGGAGAAAATAGTATGAATTCACGTTAAAGACAAATTTCTTTAATATAAAAACAGCTCTTACAATTAAAAGATCAAAATAGAAAAATGGGCAAAGTCTATAAAAATATGGTTAACTAGAAAAGAAATACAAATTGTTCATAAATATATGAAAAATTGCATAACTTCACTTACAACGAAATAAATATAAATTAAAACTAGACCAAGATACTGCTTTTTACCTATCATGGTAGAAAAGTTGGTAATACACTGTGATGGCAAAGCTGTGAGGAAATAGGTACTCTCGTACATTCCTTGTGGAAGGTTAAATTGGTACAATTCCTAGGAGAACACTGTGGCAGTATCTACCAGAATTACAATGCATATTCTCTTTCACCCAATAATTCAACTTTTACTACTCCTGTTATATTTTATTATTACTGTGTTATCAACCTGCCCCTTTTCTGTTGTCCCTAACACTGACATTTAGTGGCTTCTGTCAATTTCGTGAGGTGAAGAACTCTCTCCAATTTATGTTTGTGTTTTTGTTGCTATGGGTTTTGTGGTTATAAAGAATCAAGGAACTTCTGCATAACAGTGTCAGAATAGAACCAGAAAATCCTTAAACATCCTTTGCGTGACAGTGAAATTTAATGCTGAATGTTGGCACTTCTTGCTAGTGAAGTGCAAAATAACAGGTGGTTTTGCAAGTTAGTTTTATTTATAGGTACTGTCTTAGTTATCTAGTGCTGCTATAACAGAAATACCACAAGTGGATGGTTTTAACAAAGAGACAGTATTTATTTCTTTACAGTAAAGTAGGCTAAAAGTCCAAATTCAGGGTGTCAGCTCCAGGGGAAGGCTTCCTCTTCTCTGTTGGCCTTCTCATCAATATTCCCCTGGACTAGGAGCTTCTCCGTGCAGGGGCCCTGGGTCCAAAGGACACACTCTGCTCCTGGTACTGCTTTCTCAGTGGTATGAGGTCCCCTTGTCCCTTTCCTCACTTCTCTCTTTTATATCTCGAGAGATTGCCTCAGGACACAATCCAGTCTTGTAGATTGAGTCCAGCCTCACTAACAACTGCTGCCCATCCTCCCTCATTAACATCATAGAGGCAGGATTTACAACATATAGGATATCACACAATACCAGGAATCATGGCCCAGGCAAATTGATAAACACATTTTTGTGGGGACATAATTCAATCCATGACAAGTA